GCTATAAGGAAAGGCCAAAAAAGAACACGGTTGCAAAAAACGTGCCCTTAAATATTGAATCTCTATTCAGAACACTTTCTTAAATTGTCATTTGGCATATTACGAACAATTCCGCGTAAAAACGTTCTGTTACGCTAAACCCTTATCCAGCAGGCTTTCAAGGATGTAAACCATAACACTCTGCGAACTAGTGTTACATTGCGTGTAGCTTTGAGTGGGCAACTTTGTGTACACTTTTGTGTACCCAAAAACAAAAATGTGTACCCATTCAATGATCACCGACACAAAGCTCAGGAAGGCGCTCGGCAAGAAAAGAGATGATATCGAGATTATTTCTGATTCGCACGGGCTCAACGCCAGAATCAGCCAGGCCGGAAAAATATCATTTTTCTATCGGTATCGCTGGGCCGGTAAAGCGGTAAAACTCAATGTTGGTGATTATCCTGCAATGAGTATCACCCAGGCAAGAGAGCGTCGCCAACAATTCAGAAACTGGTTAACTGAGGGACTGGATCCGCGAGAGCAGGTGAAGCTGGATAAGCAGACCCGACAGGAAGCGATGTCCGTTGCCGAAGCGTTCAATTACTGGATTGAAAGGCACTGTATCGCTAACGGGCTAGTTAAAGTCGATTACTATCGCCAGGTGTTTGAGAAACATATCGCCGAACCGATGAAGAATGTCAAAGTCGATAACACAGCGAAAATGCACTGGATCAACGTCTTCGATTCTATAGAAAGCAGGGTGATGGCTCATTACATGCTTTCGCTGTGCAAACGGGCGTTTAGGTTCTGCGTTAACAGAAGTGTGATCGCCTCAAACCCACTCGAGGGATTACTGCCATCTGATGTCGGGCAAAAGCCTAAAAAGAGAACTCGCAGGATGGACGATGACGATCTGCGCAAAATCTATCAGTGGTTGAAAAGCCATATGTCGATAGAGTCCGTTTTCCTGGTGAAATTTATTATGCTTACCGGATGCCGTACGGCTGAGATTCGACTTAGTGAGAGATCATGGTTTCGATTGGATGATAATGAGTGGGTCGTGCCTGCGGGCAGTTATAAAACTCGGGTACATATTAGAAGGGGACTCTCAGACGCCGCCGTTAACCTGGTCAGAAATCACCTCAAGAAAATAAACACCAATCACCTGGTGACTTCACAACGTAAAATTGATGGCGGGATCAAAGATTCGCCCGTTCATTCACCTGTGGCATCCAATTACGCCCGTTCTATTTGGAATGGAACAGGTATGGCAGAGTGGTCGCTTCATGATATGAGGCGGACGATAGCCACAAATCTCTCTGAGTTAGGTTGCCCGCCGCACGTAATTGAAAAGCTGCTCGGGCATCAGATGGTGGGGGTTATGGCGCATTACAACCTTCATGACTATATCGATGATCAGAAACACTGGCTCCGCGTTTGGCAGAGCCATCTTGAAGAGATCATCGGAGAGCCCTTCAGTTAATTTATCTTCTTTTTATCCTCCCACTCTTTGATTGACTCAGAGCGCCAGCGGTTAGGGTTGCCGGGCCAGTCAGGGGGTGGGAACGGGCATACGAAGCCCCGAGGCATTGTGTCTGCACTTTGCCATGACCAAAGGGTTTTGCGTGAAATTTTGTAGCGACTGGTCAGGTCTGACGTTACCAAAATATCATCCATAGCTCTCTCCAGTTGCCCGTTCGGGCCATTCAAAATCTTTTTCAACCAACCTGCCCGGGCAGGGAGCGGAGACGGCGCATGCCGGTCATCGCTGTGGCCACGTAGCTCGCCTTTCGGTTCACCACCTCCACCCAGACTTTCACGCCTTCAACCTTCACCGTATAAGTCTCTTTCATCTTGCTTCGCCCATAGTCGCCATATGTTTGCAAGTGAGCTGCCAGCGCAACATCGCAAGCGCGGCGACCAATAGGTGATTGCTTACTGCGATTAATCAGCTTCATCATCACTGCACTCCCAAAGTGGCTACGACATCACTCGCTGTTTCGCGGGTACTGCCTTTGCTGGATATAGCCCGGCGAGCACTGACGCGGTGCAGATTGAAGCCGTGCTGTTCGTAAAGTTCAATTACGCGCGGTGCGGTAGAATTGCTGATCACCACTTTTGCCCCCCGCTGGTGGGCTGCCACACAGCTTTCCGCAAGCTCTACCTGGCTATCCCATGAGAACCCACCAGCCGCGTAGTTAGTGAAACCAGCGGTGCCGGGAAGCGGCTCATAAGGCGGATCGCAGTAAACGACGTCACCATCACCTGCCAGCGCGAGCGTGCGCCTGAAGCCTGCATTCATGAATACGCATGCGTGAGCCTTCCGCTTAAATGCCTTGATCTCTTCTTCCGGGAAATATGGCGCTTTATATTTCCCAAAGCCGACGTTAAAAAAAACCGTCCAGGTTGTAACGAATCAGGCCGTTGAAGCAGTGCCGATTGAGGTAAAGGAATGCTGCTGCACGCTCGACCGCATCCAGCCGCTGCGCGTTGAATGCTTCACGAATTAACGTATAGTTTTCGGCATCATTAAGATGCCTGAATGCCTTCATTGCCTCATAGATCACCGAATCGGGGACCACCGCCAGCATCTGATACAGGTTAATCAGGTCAGCGCTGACGTCAGCCAGAAGGAAGCGTTCGTGCTTGTCTGAGTTAAGGAACACCGAGCCGCCACCCACAAAAGGCTCAATAAGGCGTTTACCTGCGGGGATCAAACGATCCAGTTCCGGCAGCAGCGAATATTTGCCGCCAGCCCATTTAAGGAACGGGCGCTGCCAGCTGCGCAGCGCCGGTTCTTCTATGGGCATCGCCGCAGCTCCACTGCAAACAGATCCGTATCTCATGCTGCCTCCTGCCTTTCCCGATATTCCTCAGCGAGCCGCTGCGCCTTTAATGGATTGCTGACCACTTCACCCCATGGTATTAGCCAGCAGTTACCAATGAAGGGGAGGCACAGTGTGCCTACGCTGATGTCGTCGTGAGCGTGAGTCATAGGATGGACTCCATTTCGTCGATATAGAGGCCCTGAGCAATCAGGCGGCGACGGCGTGCTGCACGTTCAATGCACTCCTGCCGCCTGCCTTCCTGCGACTGCTCTATGGCGCGCCGGGTGAACAGCCGAGATTTACCCTGCGGCGTAATGACCTTTGGCTTCGTAACCAGGTCGAATGTCCGGTCGCAGATGCCGTCCTCGTTGATCCATTTTTCCGACTCAACGATCTGCGCTATCTGTCCGGTGCCGCGGGTGATGCCGTTGGCGACCCGGTTAAACTCAATGAGCGATACGCCAAACTTCTCGGCGATTTCGCTGCCAGTGACCGGGCGGCCGCGCGTCTGAATCATCCAGATAACGCGTTCACGGAGGCCGGAGAATTGCCCGGCTCGCCCGGGCCTGCGGTAGAATGGTGTGCGTTTCATTTCCACTGTTCCCCGAACGTGAAGCCGATCTCTGCCAGCGCCTCGTCCATCTTCTCGATGAACTCCGGCACCATTTCGTTGAAATCGGACATGTACTGAGGATCCCGCTCAACGACGACGTGGTGAATGCCTTCGCGTTTCATGCGCGGGTCGTAGTTTGCAAAGAACCATGCGTCTTTTCCGGTCACCCACATGCTGTACTGCACCTGGGCCATGTACGCAGACTTGATGGCTTCGAAACCGCCAAGGCGGAATTTCATGAAGTCGCGGGAGGTGAAAGGGCATTTAAGCTCAAGGCCGAACCCGTTACTGCACAGGCCGTCAGGGGAGCAGGCGGTGCGCATGCTCTCGTCACGGAACAAGATCGGAGACTCCGTGACTTTCACGTCAGTGGTGAACTCGAAGAGGGTGCGGGCGTCTTCTTCGTACTGCTTGCCCCAGGCCAGCGCCTTGGCGTTAACCTCTGGCGCTACACCGGTGCATACCTCGGCGAGCAAGGTGTGGAAGTAGGACATTTTCATGTCTGTCCATTTGCTGCCAGATCGAGGCTTGGAAATGACGTTGTGAGCGTCAGAGGCAGTAATAACTCCGAGCCTTAATTTGGCCCATGCTTCATCACCTTGCTCTACGGTGGACACATCTATGCCGGTCCGGGCCAGGATAATTTCTGGTGTCATGCTGCCGCCTTCTTCTTGAGGAAGCCTAAGGCCTTAACTGCCTCGGCTTGGGTAAGCTCGGATGAATCGCGAATATCACGACGGAAAATTTGCGAACAGACTGGGAGCAGGTTTTCTTCCCATGTCTTATCCATTGCGATAAGGACGTCGTTAATCTCCTTGATAATTTCGTCTCCTGCTGGGGTTACATCGCGTTCTGGCTGGCGTTCTGCTGAGAAGTTGATACCTTCCTCACCCTCGGTATTAACATGGTCGATGGCGGCATCCAGGCGCTCACGTCGAGGCCAGTATTTTGCTGCCTGCTTCACGACCGTCTTTAGGATCATCTGCTCTTCATCGGTGACCCATGGACACTTCTTGCTGTTGTCAGATTTGTACTTCTTCCATGCTTCAGACCGGTCACGGATGGAGTAGATGGCATCGATGCGCATCGTATGGGTAAGGTAATCACCATCGTCAGTTTTTACCGTTACATACGCCCCTACAATGTCCCCGCGCTGCTCTTCAGTATCAAAGTCGTTGTAGATGTGGATCGGCGGCTTATCGAGCCCCTCGCGGCGGAACTGGTCGTTTCTTCGAACAATAGCCGACTGGCACCACTTAATGGCGCCAGACTGCTGCGCGATGTGCATCAGGCCCATGTAACTGATGTCGAGGCAAATAGCCCCTTTACGCGGAACCAGGTAAGCCAGCTTCTGAGCTGGGTTTAGCGAAATACCGATAGCCGCAACGTTGATGATCGCGTTCTGTGTGCTGGTCTGGTTCTGGAATGCAACTTTCGCGAGGTAGTCGTTGTTCTGAAATAGCTGGATGGCGAACTGACTTTCCTTCGCCCACACCATCCGCTCGTCAGTGGCCGCCTTAATGAAAAGCGGCTCCTGTTGTTTGACGAAATCAACAAGGGTTAAGCTCATAGTCCCTCCTTAAAATGGGCAGATTGGATGAAGGCGATCCCACTCTTCTTCGGCGCGGTCGTAACAGATGCGTGTGACATAGTCGTTATAGGCTTCCTCTGCCTTTTCACCGACTAGTGCCATTTGCGCTTCTTTTGGGAGAAACAGGCTACTCATTTGCAGAGCATATTTCGGGAACATGGCGATCAGTTCTTTCGCCCGGTCGTCGATCCACTTCTCTTTCTCGTCGGTGAGTTGCTGCTCAACCCAGCGCCGTTCTTCGATGCGGTCGTAAGTGAGGTATGCGTTCATGTTTGCCTCAATATTTGATGTGCGCGTCCTGCACTTTGCCGCCAGCGATCGCCAGCACTGCTTTCTGTGCGTATTCTTCTGGGATGCCCTGAGCAATCAGATCTGCGTAGACACGACGATTGACGGTGCGGCGGTGCTCTTTGTCTGCGGCTCGGCGCGCTTCTTCTTCAGCTTTGCGCTGCTCTTCGACCAAACGGGCGGCTTCTGCCTCTTCCTGGCGGCGGCGCTCGGCGGCAACGGCTTCTTCTTTTTCGCGGCGCGCACGCTCTTCGGTTTCCTTCTTCTCGCGTTCCGCACGCTGTTCCGCTTCAATGCGCTGGCGTTCAGCCAGCTCTGCACGTGCTTTCTCTTCAGCTTCACGGCGCGCTGCGGCTTCAATCTCCGCTTTGTGCTTCGCTTCGGCATCTCGGCGGGCTTGTTCTGCTGCTTCGCGCTTAATGCGCTCTTCGTGCTCACGCCGAGCCTGTTCCGCCAGGCGGCGCTGCTCTTCGCGGTCACGGTCGAAATCCTTGTTCATCAGCAGAGCCATTTCGTGGTCTGCTTCGAACTTGGCCGCCAACTCCTGATCGAACTTGATGTTCATTTCCAGCGCTTCGGCGTGCAGCGCGTTCATGGCTTCTTCAGCCTTAATGCGTTCCTGCTCGGCTTCCCATTCGGTGAGTGGGCGGCGGGTTGCGTCGCGAAGCTCGTCACATGCATCAACGAAACGCTTAATTTCGGCCTCAGCAGGTCGCACAGCCTCTTTCAGGCGCTTCAGGTACTCTCGGCCCGGCTTTTCAATTGCCGTCTTACTGCGTGATACCTGCGCTGCCAGAGAGGCGACACGGTCACGTCCTTTCTTCGTGGAAAGGTCCGGCACTTCGTTTACTGCCTGGCGGATTTGCTCGAGATAAGCATCAAGGCCGCCCGCTACGTAAAGCACTGGGGCCTGTTCCGGCTTGATTTCGATGACAGTTAAGTCCGTTACTTCGCTCATGGTTTCTCCTGAAATTTTGATGTGCAGATCTCGCCCTCTGGTGACAGGCAGCAGTTGAATTGGTTAAGGGTTATTTGCCTATGGATCTGAAAATGCGTATATGGCTAGTTGATTGCTTCGTTAAGCATTTTCTCTATAGCCAGCTTGCCGTCATTTATCTGAGCAACTTGCTTATCGAAGTTCTCTTGGTAGTGGGCGAGATTCTTTTCCGATGCAGAGAATAGGCGTTCTTTGATTTTTTGTAACTCATCCCTGCTGAAAACAATGCCCATATTGCGGCACTTTTTGACATCATCAATGCTCAGGCCGTTACCATTGAGTTTTTCCAGGGCAATGCGCTTAACACACTGCCTGGCTTCTTCAATAGTCTTGTAGAACTCAACCGTATCGCTTCCACCACTGCCATCTGAATAGCAATTTACTCGTAAAGCTATATCTCCATTAGTGCTGCCCAAAAGAGATAAGCACTTGATACCTTCAAATTTCTTACGCCCATAGTAGTTGTCAATTGAAGACATAAAATCTTCATATCTTTCAATGGACGGCACACCGTAATCACGACGAATGGCAAATTTAACCTGCCCGGTCATTACATCTGCGAAATGGTCCAGGTCAGCATCATTGATATGATCTGAGAACGCTTTTACCTGCTTAACCATTTCTCTCCAGAAACTTAATGTATTCTGTAGGTTGCTAATTTCCGAGTTGATCTTTTCAATTTTCAACTTCGCATCAGCAAGGGCTTTTTCTTGTTTTGCTTTTTCACGAGACAACCATGATTCAACTGGCTGGTCATGTAGACTCTTCACCACAAAACGCTCGCCACCAGGGATTTCATCACCCTGCTGCGTGACAAACACTTCCTGGACGATCGTTTCCTGATTATTCAACGCACCAACGACAACGACCTTACGGCCGTCAGAAAGAAATTTAGTTTCCATGACAAAGTCCTTAATGGGTGAGAGGGTTGCCGTGACCGTCCAGAAGGACGTCAATCACGCAGTCACTGAGGCGGATGATTTCTGCGTCGGTGTGCAGGTAGACCCATTTGCGCTCCTGAATGACTGCTGAGACGCGATATGTGCGGCCTTCATGCAATGCCATCATGCCGGGCGTGACGCACTGGCGAATGAGCGGGGTGGTGCCGTAGTGGTTGATCATGCCTTCACCTCAACCTGTTCCAGGAGGCCAGCCAGCTTCATATGCCAGCGGTTCATCGTCAGCTTTTCACGCGGGTTAGATACCGACGTCAGCTGCCACTCGTTATCGTTGAGCTTTTTGGCGGTGTACTGCTTGCCGTTGTGGGTGACTGTCATCTCACACCACCTTGAATAAGAACCAGCCCATACCGCACACAATCAGGCCCACAATGGTTATTGCGGAAGACATGCGTACATGGTCAATGGCTAGTTTTGAAAGTGGCTGGCGATGTTCTTTTTTCGTCAGCGAGTTGATTGCTATGTCGAGCAGAAACGTCCCGACAAACCATAATGCGTATATCTTTAAGCCCAACTCCAAATCACTCATAAATCCTCTTGGCCTTATCGCGGCGAACGGAACGGTTAATACAAGACTTCAACGCATTTATTCAGTGTTTCAATGGTCGGTGGATGGCCGCCGGTTGTCATAACTTGAGCCACTCGTAAATGACTCCAGGTATGAAAAAGCCGCTGGTTAGGCGGCTATTGAGGTTCGCGCGGCTTGTGGTCGAATCGGTGCCACCCGTCAGTTAATTCAAATGGAGCATAACTTTCCCGGCGCTCAGCGAACCCAAGCTCAACAGACAGAGCGTGCAGCTCATGCCGACGCTTAATCTGTTCCATCGCAATCCAGTCAGCATCGGCATTGCGCTTTTGAGCTTGCTTCGGCGACAGGTCTAAACTGTTTATTTCACTTAGTTTCTGCTGACGCTTGATGTCCTGTTTCATATTGCGAAGCGCATTTATCATTGAGTCGATGCGCTTGATGTCGTCGATCATCCCCTTACCCTCTGTCGTTACCCGCTGATGCGGGAGAAATGCTTTGGCGATGTGGTAGGTGGGAGACCCATTTCGACCCGATTCGGCCTACTTATCTTCGGCAATAGCTCCTCGGGCCTCGCCGCTTTACGTGCGACATATTCCCGTCCATGAACCCTTCACCACATCCCATAACATTCCCTGTATTGGTCAGCGCCAACTCCCTGCCAGTGTTGCCCGTTCTCACGCCGTTCTCGCTCTCGCGCGGGGATACTCTCTCACCGACCGGATCGCACCCGGTGATACAGCACGTTTACGTGTAGGGGTCTTAACAGGTCATTGACGCTGTAAATCTGCATGTTGTTAAAAAGCAGGCGACTTGCTGTCCGCCGCTGGCTAACTTCGCTCAGCTGTCGATGTTTCGTTTCGATGGAGTAATTAAACATCATGTGGATTTGTAGGTCAACACCTTGTGGATTTATTTTGTTGATTTAATCGTTTACTGTTGATTTTTATGTTGATTTATTTTTTGGTGGCATAAGTGATATGCTGAAAAAAACATCAAAAAGGAGTGGGTAATGGACTTGGATGAAGAAAGAGTGAACATGATGGTTCACGCCATGGGGCGGGCGGTCATGGAGTTGTCACTGGCAGATTTACCTATGACCCAGCAAAACATCATCGACAAGCTGGAACGGTACCGGAAGGAAACGGGAAACGTGATAGGTAAGGGTGTGAACAGGGATGCAGCTGAGATAGTCAGGAAGGGTAGTAAAGCTGTGAAGTAGGCACAAAAAACCCGGCGCGGTGGCCGGTTGTTAAAGCTCAATATCAACTATGAAAAGTTTACTAATAGCCCCTTTTCTAACTGCTGCTTTGGCAGTTACTTTTACCGCTGACTCATGACTTAGACCCGTTGACAGAAAACGACTAAGTGAAATGAGATACGGGTTGTCTGCCTTTGAAGCAGATGGATCGCTTATTTGTGCTGAGATGCGCTTATCTGAATCATCACCTTCTATAATGACTTTAGCGGTCATTCGGTGAGCGTCGAATTCAGTAAGGAAGATTCGATACTCCCTTAAGCCAAGAACTTCGTCGTCGTCCAACTGGTCTATTACTGCTTTATCTTGCTCATCAATTACAGCAGGCTTGAAACCATTCCCCGGTGTGACGCTTATCTTATTACAGGTGGTACCGATGGGGGAAACTGCCTGTCTAACTGATGGGCGTAACTCACTAGCCATCTTGTCAATCACTGAGATTAGACCTGAGATGGTATCTTTATCTTTATTTCCGAGGGCCTCAATTGCCTTCTCAAGTGCTTCTTTTAGGTATTTCATTTCCTCTTTCTTCTGCGAGTTTTTAGCGAAGATATAAGGCACTAATGCGCCAAGTATAGCCCCCGCAGACCCTGAGAACAATTGAGACTGACTGATAAAATTCATGATAGTATCAAGAGAAAAACAATTGGCCCTAGCTTCGGTAGCGTAAATTTTAACCTCTTGAGTTGAGGTGCTTCGCGAGTACTTTTGGGTTAATGCGAAGGTTCCAGCTGTAGCTAATATCTTCGAAAATCCCTTTAGCGATTCACCGAGCGAAGAAAGTTCAATCTCATGCTTTTCAGCATCCAAACCGTCATATCTAAGTGAAAAATTAACATCGTGTAAGCCAGTGTTTTCCATCAACAGTCCTTATATGCTTTCACCAAAACGTCTCATCAGGCCACCATAAGCACGATCGCAACAACCGAGAGCAAAGTAACCACGCCTACTATCAGATATTCTCTCATCACCCAAACGTCTCTTCAGGCCACTAAAATTATCGGCGATATCGCAATACCGAGTACCAGAACACAAAACCGATTATCTCGACATCTGCCTCATCGGCCTCTTCGTCGTCATAATCACGATTAATGCTTCTGATTAGAATTTTTCCGCCTGGTTTGCGATAAAGTTGCTTGATGCGCTTCAGATCTCCCTGGTTGATGGCGTAGAGTTCGCCGTCAATAACTCGCTTATTACCAGTATCAACAGCTACAGTTGCACCATCAGGAATGACTGGCTCCATACTGTCTCCTGATGCAGGAAAACACAGGACACCAGAACCATCACTATTGGCTCCAACTCGACGGAGCGTTGCTTTTGAAAAGCGCAATTTAAAACCGTTGTGATCCTCATCGTGTACTCGTCCATCACCACACGCAAACTCGATATCCTTCAGAAACGGTACTTCCACCTCATCGTCAGGTAGGGGGGTATTTTTGTCCCAAGCGTCGACAGTTCCCCACTCAGACTCTGGCGGGATGTTGCTCTCCAGATCCTTCTTTGGAGAACCCTCTCCATTTAATAACCAGTCAAGAGAATAACCGAATTTTTCAGATATTTGTTGCGCCGCCTCACGACTTAACGCGTCTCTTTTTATCCAGTTGTTGACGGTCTGTGGGCTAGTCGACAAAGCCTCAGCCAAATCCCGCTGCTTCAAGCCTTCCCTTGCCAGTAAAAATTTAATTCTTTCAGAAATGCTGCTCATAAAACCCTCCGCTCCATGCATGGTAAACAACATGTGGATTTTTTCCATCACCATAATGTTGATTTAATCCACGCCATGAATTAACATGGTGTTGATTACACATGAGCGGAGCAAAACATGATCAACAAAAAATCCAACGCCAGCACCCCGCTTGAGAAAGCCATTAATGCAGTGGGCGGCTCTCAAAAGGTGCTTGCTGAAAAGGTCGGCGTAACGCCTCAGGCCATCAATATGCTTAAAAAGCGAGGTGGCAGCCTTCCAGTAACAAAAATGCGTAAATACGAAGAAGTAACCGGACTTCCTCGCGAAGTTCTATATCCAGGTATCTTTGCCGCCTAACCGGCGGCTCTAACCACGAAATGGAAAGCAATGCATTCACTTGCGTATCAACACAATACCGGAATACACCCGGGAGCGATGATAAACCGCGCTCAACCTAAGGCGGAGCCAGGTCACGACAAAATCCGCGATGCGGTCCGTGCATGGTCGTCGTCCCTGGACAATCAGGACGTAGTGTCAGCGCTGATCATCAACGAATACCGGGAGCAGGGCGGTACCGCCATCAGCTTCCCAGAAGACATCAGCAGGGCGCGCCAGAATTTTTTTCGCTTTCTGGATAACCGCTTCGACTCCGATCAGTACCGCGAGAACGTTAGAGAACTGACCCCGGCAATCATGGCTGTTCTTCCTGTTGAGTTTCGTACACGCCTGGCGCCGCAGAACGACACCATGTCGCTGATCGCATCTGCCATGAAGGAATGTTCAGAAGCAAAGCAAGCCGTTCTCCTGAACGCGCCTGAGCACCAGAAAATGAAGGAGGTAAGCGAGGGCATAGCGTCATTGTTTCGCCTCATGCCGGAGCAGGTAGGACCGCTGATGACGATGGTTACATCGATGCTGGGGGTTATATGAGAGGCACAAGAAAAGAAAAAGCCCTTGAAGCGGTAACTTCAAAGGCCCTTATCACACTGTGTTACGGCAAGTAACGGGAGTAAGTATGTCAAACACCGCTGAAATAATCAATTTCCCAAATAAAACCGAACAACCGGGAGGTCGTATGGCCGACCTGTCGAACGGGTATACCAAGGTCGCTAACGAGATCCAACAGCTTAAGCCTCGCCTGAGACTGTCAGGCCGGGAATGGCAATGTTTTGAGGCGGTGATCTGGCTTACCTACGGCTGGAACAAGAAACAGGACCGCGTGACAAATACGGTTATTGCCGAGCTTACGGGCCTGAGCGATACGCATGTATCGGACGCGCTTAAGTCTCTCGCAGAACGCAAAATCATCTTTTCACAGAAGCAGGGCATGATGAAAATCGTCGGTGTAAACACTGACCTTTCAGCATGGATTTTAGACAAACCGGAAACGGGAAGAAAATTCCCGAAAACGGGAAAATCCTTCCCGAAATCAGGAATAACCTTCCCGAAAACGGTAGACACCCAATACAAGAACAAGAACAGTATTAAAAGATCTTCGTCCGAGAATTCTGACGAATCCTCTGACGCACGTCTGAAGAAATTTTTATCAACTCATCCTGAAGCTGCGGTCTACACACCATCCGGTGCGAAGTGGGGCTCTGCTGAAGACCTCGAGACAGCTAAGTGGATTTCCTCCAGGGTGAAGCTGATTAACCCAACCTGCAAAGCCCCGGACATGACCTCCTGGTCTAACACTGTTCGCCTGATGCGCCAGATAGACAACCGGTCGCACCAGGACATCTGCGCGCTGTATGACTGGGCTAGCAAACACCACTTCTGGCAGACCAACATCCTGAGTCCCGAAAGCCTGCGTAAGCAGTGGGACAAGCTGACAATGCAGCGTAACGCCGGAGGTGAGCAGCGCGCTGTCAAGCCAGATCTGGACTTCAACAACACTGACTGGGCCTATGGGGTGATCCGATGAAATCTCTTGCAGAGCAGATGCGTAACCACGACCGCGAGCAGATGAGCCGCATGGCCCATAACCTGCCAGAGCAGTACCAGGAGTGCGCGCCGGTCGAGCAGGTGGCGCAGGTATTCAACAAGCTGTTCAACGAGCTGCGCGCCGCGTTCCCGGCCAGCATGGCGAACTTCCGCACCCAGGAAGACCTGAACGAATTCCGCCGTCAGTGGCTGCTGGCGTTTCAGGAGAACGGGATCCACACCATGGCTCAGGTCGATGCCGGCATGCGCATTGCCCGCCGCCAGGAGCGCCCATTCCTGCCGTCGCCGGGCCAGTTCGTCGCCTGGTGCAAGCAGAGCGGCGGCGCGCTGGGCGTCAACGTTGACCAGGTGATCGCCGAGTACTGGGAATGGCGTAATCGTTCGTTCGAATTCATCTCCAGCGAGCAATTTCCATGGTCGCAGCCGGTCATGTACCACATTTGCGTAGAATTGCGCCACCGCAGCACCGAGCGCCAGTTAACGCATGGTGAACTGGCACGCGAGGCAGGCGATCTGCTGGACATGTGGGAAAGGCGCGTCACCGAGGGTAAGCCAGTGCCGCCGGTACGCCGGGCTATTGCCGCACCAGCTGCCGAGCAAGGGCCGACGCCGATCCAGCTGCTGCTGGCCAAGTACAACCGCAACAAGTCGAACGGGATGGTGTGACATGAACATAACAATCCGCGGGCAGATTCTTGCAGCCCTGCGTAGGATACTGAGGACTAACCCATGAGCACCATTACCAAAGAATGGCTACTGAAGACTATCGCGGAGCTTGAAGAAGAGCGAGATGCTACGCCAGGCGCAGTGAACGAAGACGCGGCGATGGCGCTCGCTGCGATGAAGCTAGCGCTGGCATCGCTCGAAGCGGAGCCTGTGGCGTGGCTACTGTCAGGCGGCGGCGCAAAAAACAACGTCAGCTTCGATAGTGGCAATGCTTATGCCGCCCAGCTGCGAGAAGTAACGCCGCTTTACACCGCCCCGCCAGCGCCGGTATCTGTGCCCGCTGCGATGGAAATTGATGATGACTTTGACAGCGCGTTTGAACACGGAAAAGCTGTCGGCTGGAACGCCTATCGCGCCGCCATGCTTCAGGCCGAACCTGTAAGTAATAGTGATGAGTTACCGCTGGACTATCTGCAAGGACACAAAGACGGCCTGGAGTGGGCTGCACAATTGGCAGAAGCCAATCATCCGCAAACAGGTGACTGGTTGTACGACGACCAAATCGAACTTGCCAGGGCGATTCGCAAAGGTCCGGATATGCCTACTGTTCAGGGTGGCAACTCTCCGGTGATTCCAGATGGTTGGGTGATGGTGCCGGTTGAGCTTACTCCGGATATGCGTGCAGCATGGGATTCGGCTCCGTACACAGACGATGATGACAACGACATGCAGGCTGCATACCGCGCGATGATTGCAGTAGCACCGCAGTGGAAGGTGAAGTGATGCAGAACCCATTCGACGCATAACTAAACGTCAAGCAACGTTTGATAAAACACTATCAACGAGCCATAATAAATCTGCCAGCGGCCTGAACAACCCTGGCAGACTTCTGCGCATTTAAGGGGACTTAAATGCGACCACAATATGAACTTCTCACCTTGTCACAGATGCAGAAATGCACCTGCGATTTTCTGTATTCTTCGGTTTCCGTCAAGGAGGCCGTATGATTATCCCCAAAGACGGCATCAAGCTACACCGTGGAAATCTTGGTGCTATCACTCAGCATCTGAAGCCACTTCTCGAAAACGGTGAGTGCTTCCGGCTCCAACTCAAAGACTGGCGCGAGAAGAGAAGCCTTTCACAAAATAGTCTGAGCCACGTTTGGTACAAGGAAATAAGCGACTACCTGATCAAGTCTGGGCGCACTGACGCAACGCCTGCATGGGTAAAGCGAAACCTCAAAAAAACTTATCTGGGTTATGAAGAGGTTGAGTACACCGATTTCGTCACCGGAATTAAGACGATTGAATTAGAACTCCGCCACACGTCCGATCTGGACACTGGCGACATGCACCATTTCATGTGCCAGGTGGAAGGCTGGTGCGCTCAGTTTGGCCTGGTGCTCACAATCCCTCAAAGCAGCGAATTTCAGGTGCTGCGCGATAAGCAGGAGGCCTGATGTCAACTCCACTTTCCCGCGTCATCACAAACGAAATCTTTCGCGTTCCGGCGCGCCGCAAGCCTAAGCCCGCGGTTAAGCCATCCGATATCCCGACCCTGAAAGACTACACCGCCCGCCTGGTGGATCAGAAATGGCTGCGACTCGCGGCGAGGAGAAAATCTGCATGAGCATGTATCAACGCATTAATGGCGCTGACTGGCGCAATATTTTCGTCGTCGGCGATCTGCATGGGTGCTACACGCTGCTGATGAATGAACTCGAAAAGGTTTCGTTCGACCCTGCGTGTGATTTGCTGATTTCGGTTGGAGACCTTGTTGACCGCGGCGCGGAAAACGTCGAGTGCCTGGAGCTGATTACTATGCCTTGGTTCCGGGCTGTGCGAGGTAACCATGAGCAGATGATGATTGATGGGCTATCGGAGTATGGAAACGTTAACCACTGGCTGGAAAACGGCGGCGTGTGGTTCTTCAGTCTTGATTATGAAAAAGAGGTGCTGGCTAAGGCTCTGGTTCATAAATCGGCCAGCCTGCCATTCGTCATCGAGCTGGTTACCGCTGAACGTAAAATCGTTATCTGCCACGCTGACTACCCGCATAACGAATATGCGTTCGACAAGCCGGTCCCGAAAGACATGGTCATCTGGAATCGTGAACGGGTTAGCGACGCTCAGGACGGCATTGTCTCGCCGATAGCTGGTGCTGATCTGTTTATCTTCGGCCACACCCCTGCGCGCCAGCCCCTGAAGTATGCCAACCAGATGTACATCGATACTGGTGCCGTGTTCTGCGGAAACCTCACGCTGGTACAGGTTCAAGGTGGTGCCCATGCGTAAACCATCCCGCCGTAAGTGCAAAGTATGCGGTGAATACTTCGTGCCGAAATTCCACGACATCCGGATCCGGTGGTGCAGCCCGGAGCATGGCGCAATCCTCGCAATGGAAGAACGCAAGAAGGAGAAGGTGAAAGCCGCGGCTAAGCGCATCAAGGAGCAAAAAGAGGCTGAAAAGGACGGGCGCAAACGCCGCAAGGAGCGGCTGGCAGAGCTCAGGCCAGACGGATACTACAAGGCTCAGGCTCAGAAAGCTTTCAACGCCTTTATCCGTGCGCGCGACGCCGATTTGCCATGCATCAGCTGCGGCGAGACCAATCCGCCTGATCTGCATGGTGGCCAGTGGGATTGCGGCCATTTCAAGACAGTAGGTGCTTACCCTGAACTGCGCTTTGAAGAACGCAACGCCCATAAGCAGTGCAAATCCTGTAATGCCGGAGCTGGCAAGTACACCGCCAAAGAGGCGACCGTGGCGCAGCAATACGAAGCTGGGTTGGTCGCTCGTTACGGTCAGGGATACGTCAACTGGCTCAATGGTCCCCACGAAATGACCAACTACCGCCGTGAAGACTTCATCCGGATCCGGGATGAGTACCGCGACAAGCTCAAAGCACTGAAACAGCGGGAGGCAGCATGAAACCAATGATATTCGATCTCAAGCTACCTCATTGGGCTTTTCTGCTTGAGTGTCCGTTCTGTGGCGGCGGCGCAGAACTTTTTTCTGATGGTGATGGTGTCTACGCCGGTTGTTCAACAAAGCAATGCTTGATTAAGCCGATAACTGACACCTATCCAACAAAGCGCGATGCAATTCGCGCCTGGAATCGGAGGCCATCATGACCAGAGACGAGATAACCCGATACCAGGCCGAAAGCGTTAAGCGCGCCAGCATGCCGCCAATAGTAAAGCACAGCCAGACCAAAACCCACCAGCCACAGAAGGAAGCCGCATAATGAACCTCGAATCAATCGCTAAATACTTTGCGCCTAAATCACCGATGTTCAGTGACTCTCCTCGCGCAACCGCATCAGACAGTCTCACCGGCACTGACGTTATGGCGGCGCTTGGCCTTGCTGGCCACAAGTGCGGGTTTGGTTTCGATCTTTACCTCTCGAAAATCGGCATTAGCAGCCCAGATATAGCACTGGAGAGACTCTATGAGCAGGCACGTAAGTTATCAGGTAAATTCAGAGCACTGTCTGAACTCGATGAATCAGCTCGGTCAGGCGTGCTTAAGGTTCTCTGCGCTTTTGCATACCAGGATTATTCAAGAAGTGCTGCCAGCACTCGAAAATGTGATTGCTGTGATGGTGGCGGATTTACAGAGGCGCAAGTGTTTACCAACAAGGTCTCATACCCATGGGGGAAACCGCCTTACTGGTCGAAAATGTCGCGTGCCGTTCGCCCAAGCGACTGGGAGAGCTGGACACAGGCGCGTGAGGTGGTGCGAGTTAAGTGCAAGCCGTGTAACGGAAAAGGCGTTATCAGCAATTCGTGTCGCTGCCATGGCAAAGGTAAGGTGCTGGACAAGGCAGAAAGCGATCGCCAGGGCGTTCCAGTAATGAAAGCCTGCGACCGCTGCGGTGGTAGAGGTTACGCCAGGCTTAAGTTCTCAACGGTAATTGAGGGCGTTAATACTGTTGCGGAGATAAAGAAAACGGCGGCATATGAGCAACTTCAGCCGCTATTTGAGGAGTTGGTCGCCGAATGCCATAAACAGGAGTCTATGGCTGATTCCATTCTCTCAAAAGTAACGAGATGAAAATAATTTTCCCTAATGTTGAAAATATATAGGAAATAGGTATTGCATTTCGCGGAAAAACTGGATAGATTCATCTCTAACGCTGGGAATACGTTCAGTCGTTCCGAAGCCAAAAAAATTCAAGCCCGAGGTTAACGCCTTGGGCTTTTTTTATTTCTTTGTGGCCTAAATCGCTTCGAGCCAAAAAAACGCGGAGAACGACATCACCCCTCTCCGCAATAACGACTCAATCTCATACCCGCTTGTCTTTCTTTTATCCACAAAGAGGTAAAGCCATAACTTAGTGGAAATGGTAACAGCTAAAAACTATTTGAAAAGCTAATTATTTTTTGCATCAACTGGCTATTCTTAAGGATTGTTTAATTTTTTGCTTTCCTAGCGAGAAAGAAGCTCCGGAAACTATCAATCAATACAAGGCTGCCGTTCGGCGGCCTTTTTTATTCCTAGCAACAGCACTCGCACAAAGCGAGGTGAGAGTATGTATCGCATGGACAAACTAACCACTGGTGCTGCCTATGGCGCTTCAGCCGGGAGCATCCTAAACGGCATGTTGAATGCCTACAGCCCCGAGCAGTGGAACGCTATCGGCGTGCTGGTGGGTATCATCATTGCCGTAATGACGTATCTGACAAATCTCTATTTCAAAATCCGCGAAGACAACCGCCGCAGCAGGAGCCGAGATGAACCCAACGTTGAGGAATAAGCTGGTGGGTGCCATTGTTGGCGGATCAGGGGCAATCACTATTGCTGCAGTAATGCTGGGCAATGCGGATGGACTCGAAGGTCGGCGTTATTACGCCTATCAGGATGTGGTCGGCGTCTGGACCGTTTGCGATGGGCACACTGGTACCGACATTCGCCGCGGTCACCGATATACCGACAAAGAGTGTGACAACCTGCTTAAGGCAGATCTGCGAAAGGTGGCAAGCGCCATCGACCCGCTGATCAAGGTTCGCATCCCTGAGCCAACCCGCGCCGCGCTTTACTCCTTCACCTATAACGTTGGCTCTGGTGCTTTTGCCAGCTCGACGCTGCTGAAGAAGCTGAACTCCGGTGATGTTCCGGGTGCGTGTAAAGAACTGCAGCGCTGGACTTATGCTGGCGGCAAGCAGTGGAAGGGGCTGATCACCCGGCGCGAGATTGAGCGTGAAGTCTGCGAGTGGGGCCAGAAATGAGCCGATTAACCGCAATCATCTGCGCTGTCGTTATCTGCCTGCTGGTTTCCATGGCCTGGGCCATTAACCACTACCGCGACAACGCCATCACCTACAAAGACCAGCGCGACAAAGCCACCAAAAGTCTCCGCCTGGCTAACGACACCATCAAAGACATGCAGACCCGTCAGCGTGATGTCGCTGCACTGGATGCCAAATACACCGGAGAACTGGCTGATGCGAAAGAAACCATTGAGCGTCTGCATAGCGATGTCATTGCTGGCCGTAAGCGGCTGCAAGTCGCCGCCACCTGTGCAAAGTCAACGACCGGAGCCAGCAGCATGGGCGATGGAGAAAGCCCAAGACTTACAGCAGATGCTGAACTCAATTATTACCGTCTCCGAAGTGGAATCGACAGGATAACCGCGCAGGTTAACTACCTGCAGGAATACATCAGGACGCAATGCCTGAAATAATTTTTTTGCAAATCACAAAGTCAATTTAATGAGCCTCGCGATGCGGGGCTTTTTTATGTCCGCAGTAAACGCGCATCTCACGCGCATATTAACGAGAGCCTTTCAGTAAGCGAGCCTGAGAAATGCCGTTATAGGTGGCGACCTCTCTCGGGCGGCTTTTCTGTGAGACAGGCTCACTTTCTAAAAGGTAAAGACGCTATGAATAATCCGTCAGTTATTCCGGCCTTCGACTTCCGCGAAATGGTCACGACCCTCGACAACAAGATAATCACCACATCACTCAAGGTGGCGGATTACTTTGGCAAGCGACACAAAGACGTTTTGCGTGCCATACGTAACCTGAAATGCTCCGATGACTTCACCCAGCGCAATTTTGCGCCCATTGATTTCATTGATAAAAATGGCGATGTTCAGCCTATGTATAACATCACCCGCGACGGATGCATGATGCTAGTGATGGGATTCACTGGCAAAACAGCTGCCGCAGTGAAGGAGTGTTACATCAATGCCTTCAACTGGATGGCCGAGCAGCTAAACCGGCGCATGGCGATGGGTGAAGAATTGCAGCATCGCTACGCCATCAAAGAAACGCGCTCAAAGCTGAAAGGCACGATCGGAAGCCGTTTGATGAACGAGCGGAAGAAAGAGAATAGCGTCCTGGAGCTCGAACATGAGCACATCATGCAGGTAACGCAGCCAGAATTGTTGATTGGCTGATCGCGGCATTACAGCAGGCATTCACTGAGTGCCTGTGATAATGCAACAGCCCGTACAAAACGGGCTTGGATTTATCTCTTTGTTGCGTTCATGGTCACATGGTAAACGAATTGGCTAAATTGGTTATCCCAGCGCCCATTATGATTAGCTGCAACTAATTGCATTAACGCCTGCATTAACTTGCTGAACAGCAAGATTAACTTAAGTCTGTTTTTTGAACTGTCACTATCTAAGGAAACTTCTTCGGTTAATTGATTCTCGGCGTTAAAAATACCCAGTTTTGATTCTTCCATGCTGGGTTCCGTTGGATGCTGTTTAAAGTATTCAGTCAGAGTATCCTTCAGGCTCTGGATCCTTGAATCAGCAATGCTTTGTATTGATGGATTGTGTGCAAGGTCATTACGCATTGAGTTGATGGTTTTAAGTGATTTCATAAGTTCCGGGGGGATTCCCAGGTTTCCCGCCATGGATATTTTAGTATTACATTCGATTAAAAGTTTGTTTTTATCTCTTCCAAAGAGATCTTGGCAGTCACAGCATGCGCATATCCATGCTTCGACCATGCGCTCACAAAGTAGGTGAATGCGCAATGTAGTACCCACATCGTCATCGCTTTCCACTGCTCTCGCGAATAAAGATGGAAAATCAATCTCATGGTAATAGTCCATGAAAATCCTTGTATTCATAAATCCTCCAGGTAGCTATATGCAAATTGAAACAAAAGAGATGGTGATCTTTCTAAGAGATGATGGAATCTCCCTTCAGTATCCCGATGGTCAATGCGCTGGATATGGGATAGATGGGAATATGCTGATTTTTATGGGACAGAGTTGCGAACTGTTCCCAACTAAAATCATTTTGCACGATCAGCGCACTACGAACTTTACCCACAAATAGTCAGGTAATGAATCCTGATATAAAGACAGGTTGATAAATCAGTCTTCTACGCGCATCGCACGCGCACACCGTAGAAAGTCTTTCAGTTGTGAGCCTGGGCAAACCGTTAACTTTCGGCGGCTTTGCTGTGCGACAGGCTCACGTCTAAAAGGAAATAAATCATGGGTCATAAAATTATCACGTTGTCCGGCGCGGCGACGGATGTTCTGTATGCGCTGTTTTTCCGTGGCGCGTTGCTGTCTGGTGATCTGCCTTCTAAATCTGGCACAGCCGAATTGCGCGAGCTTGGTTTTGCTGAAACCAGACACACAGCAACTGAATACCAGAAAGAAAATCACTTTACCTTTCTGACATCAGAAGGGCAGAAATTTGCCGTTGAACACCTGGTCAATACGCGTTTTGGTGAGCAGCAATATTGCGCTTCGATGACGCTTGGCGTTGAGATTGATACCTCTGCTGCACAAAAGGCAATCGACGAGCTGGACCAGCGCATTCGTGACACCGTCTCCTTCGAACTTATTCGCAATGGAGTGTCATTCATCAAGGACGCCGCTATCGCAAATGGTGCTATCCACGCAGCGGCAATCGAAACACCTCAGCCGGTGACCAATATCTACAACATCAGCCTTGGTATCCAGCGTGATGAGCCAGCGCAGAACAAGGTAACCGTCAGTGCCGATAAGTTCAAAGTTAAACCTGGTGTTGATACCAACATTGAAACGTTGATCGAAAACGCGCTGAAAAACGCTGCTGAATGTGCGGCGCTGGATGTCACAAAGCAAATGGCAGCAGACAAGAAAGCGATGGATGAACTGGCTTCCTATGTCCGCACGGCCATCATGATGGAATGTTTCCCCGGTGGTGTTATCTGGCAGCAGTGCCGTCGATAGTATGCAATTGATAATTATTATCATTTGCGGGTCCTTTCCGGCGATCCGCCTTGTTACGGGGCGGCGACCTCGCAGATTCTCGCTATTTATGAAAATTTTCAGGCATTTGCCGTTTCCGTTCTTCTTCTCGCTAATTATTGTTTTAACTGTAAACACCCCCTGAAAAGAAAGGAAATGATAAGCCTTAAAAACGGCTAAATAGCCAGAGGGCGTTTCCTTTCTCTGTTTTTGTGTATGGAGTGAGCTATGGAGGTCAACAAAAAGCGTCTTTCTGAAATATTTGGGGTCAGCGTGCGAACCATTCAGAACTGGCAGGATCAGGGAATGCCTGTAGCACGTGGCGGTGGAAAAGGTAATGAGGTCCTCTATGAATCTTCCGCGGCTATCGAATGGTATTCCGCACGCGACGCGGCGATTGAGAATGAGAAATTACGGAAGGAGGTGGAAGACCTTCGTCTTGCATCGGAATCCGACCTTCAGCCTGGTACGATTGACTATGAGCGTCACCGCCTCACCCGAGCGCAGGCAGATGCCCAGGAACTAAAAAATGCAAAAGATTCCGCTGAGGTGGTGGAAACCGCATTCTGCACGTTCGTGCTGTCGCGGATGGCCGGAGAAGTAGCCAGCATTCTTGATGGAGTTCCTCTGTCGGTTCAGCGGCGCTTCCCGGAGCTGGAAAACCGACATATTGATTTCCTCAAGAAGGACATCATTAAAGCCATGAACAAAGCAGCTGCGCTGGATGAAATAATACCGGGGTTGCTGAGTGAATATATCGAACAGTCAGGTTAAGGGGCTGCAGCACTCTGCGCGCGCGGGTCTACTTTCGCTGTACCGACCTGAGCCGCAAACGGCGGTTGAATGGGCAGACGATAATTACTATCTCCCCAAAGAGTCGGCCTACCAGGAAGGGCGCTGGGAAACGTTGCCGTTTCAACGCGCGATCATGAATGCGATGGGTAACGATTACATACGTGAGGTCAACGTTGTTAAGTCTGCCCGTGTTGGCTATTCAAAAATGTTGCTGGGTGTTTATGCGTATTTTATTCAGCACAAGCAGCGAAATTCCCTTATCTGGCTGCCTACTGATGGTGACGCCGAAAACTTTATGAAGTCGCATGTTGAGCCGACGATTCGCGATATTCCGTCACTTCTGGCGCTGGCCCCCTGGTATGGAAAAAAGCACCGGGACAATACGCTCAGTATGAAACGCTTCTCCAACGGTCGCGGGTTCTGGTGTCTGGGTGGTAAAGCGGCGAAAAACTATCGTGAGAAATCGGTCGATGTCGCCGGTTACGATGAACTGGCGGCATTCGATGAAGATATTGAGAAAGAGGGATCCCCGACGTTCCTGGGTGATAAACGTATTGAGGGGTCTGTCTGGCCCAAATCTATTCGCGGCTCAACGCCAAAAACAAAGGGGACCTGCCAGATTGAGCGTGCTGCCAGCGAGTCCGGGCATTTCATGCGTTTTCATGTTGCCTGTCCGCACTGTGGTGAAGAGCAGTACCTTAAATTCGGCGACAAAGAGACCCCGTTCGGGCTGAAATGGACACCGGGCGAACCCTCCAGCGTCTTTTACCTGTGTGAACATAATGCCTGCGTCATTAAGCAGCAGGAGCTGGATTTCACTGAAGCTCGTTACATCTGCGACACCACCGGGATCTGGACGCGCGACGGTTTATCCTGGTTTTCATCAACAGGCACCGAAATCGACCCGCCAGACAGCGTGACGTTTCACATCTGGACGGCATACAGCCCGTTTACCACCTGGGTTCAGATCGTTAAAGACTGGCTAAAAACGAAAGGGGATACAGGAAAGCGTAAAACCTTCGTGAACACCACTCTGGGCGAAACATGGGAGCCTAAAATTGGTGAACGGCCTGACGCGGAGCTCATGGCCGAACGCAAAGAGTTCTTCGGGGCATCCGTACCGGAGCGTGTTGCTTATCTGACAGCCGGGATCGACTCCCAACTGGATCGATATGAAATGCGCGTCTGGGGATGGGGGCCCGGTGAGGAAAGCTGGCTGATTGACCGGCAGATCATTATGGGCCGTCATGATGATGAAGCGACCCTCGTCAGGGTGGACGAGGCGATTAACAAAACCTATCTCCGAAAGAATGGCGTGGAAATGTCGGTATCCCGTATCTGCTGGGATATCGGCGGTATTGACCCCACCATCGTCTACAACCGCTCAAAAAAACACGGTCTGTTTCGTGTGATCCCTATAAAGGGGGCGTCGGTTTATGGAAAGCCGGTGGCGAACATGCCACGCAAGCGTAACAAGAATGGTGTTTACCTCACAGAGGTAGGAACAGACACCGCAAAAGAGCAGATTTATAACCGTTTCACGCTGGTGGCGCAAAGAGACGAGCCGCTGGCGGGAGCGGTTCATTTCCCGAATAACCCAGAAATCTACGATCTAACAGAGGCCCAACAACTAACAGCTGAAGAGCAGGTGGAAAAATGGGTAGACGGAAAGAAAAAGATCGTCTGGGACAGCAAAAAACGACGAAATGAGGCGCTCGATTGCTTTGTTTATGCACTGGCGGCGCTGCGTATAAGCATATCCCGCTGGCAGCTTAACCTTGATTCACTTCTTGCCAGCCTGCTGGAGGAAGAAGGCACCCGTAACAATAACAAGACCCTGGCGGATTACGCGCGGGCATTGTCTGGAGAGGAATAATGGCAACACAGACTGAACTGGATGCCGCGCGCGCTGCGTTACATGACCTGATGATGGGAAAGCGCGTGGCGACGGTACAGAAAGACGGTCGAAGAGTGGAATTTACAGCTACCTCAGTCACCGATCTCAAAAAGTATATTGCTGACCTTGAATCTCAGGTTGGTACCACATCACGACGCCAGGGGCCTGCAAGGTTTTACGTATGAAAATACCATCTTTAGTGGGTCCTGACGGGAAAACATCCCTCCGGGAATACGCGGGGTATCATGGCGGCGGCGGAGGGTTTGGTGGTCAGTTGCGGGGCTGGAATCCACCAAGCGAAAGTGCTGATGCGGCTCTTCTGCCTAACTTCTCGCGCGGAAATGCCCGTGCTGACGATCTGGTCAGAAATAATGGCTATGCGGCAAACGCCGTGCAGCTCCACCAGGACCACATCGTCGGGTCATTTTTCAGACTCAGCTATCGACCGAGCTGGCGCTATCTTGGCATCAATGAGGAGGATTCACGCGCATTTTCGCGGGATGTAGAAGCCGCCTGGAACGAGTATGCCGAGGACGACTTTTGCGGGATTGATGCCGAGCGTAAGCGAACGTTTACGATGATGATCCGAGAAGGTGTGGCCATGCACGCGTTTAACGGTGAATTATGCACGCAGGCGACCTGGGACAGCGATTCAACGCGTCTTTTCCGTACTCAGTTCAAAATGGTCAGTCCGAAGCGCGTCAGCAATCCGAATAATATCGGTGATACCCGGAACTGTCGCGCCGGTGTGAAAATAAATGATAGCGGTGCTGCGCTGGGATATTACGTCAGCGACGATGGTTATCCCGGCTGGATGGCGCAGAACTGGACCTACATTCCTCGCGAACTACCCGGCGGTCGACCTTCATTTATCCATGTATTCGAACCGATGGAGGATGGACAGACCCGTGGGGCCAATGCGTTTTACAGCGTGATGGAGCAGATGAAAATGCTCGATACCCTGCAAAATACCCAGCTCCAGAGCGCGATAGTGAAGGCTATGTATGCCGCTACCATCGAGAGTGAACTGGATACCCAATCGGCGATGGACTTTATTCTCGGCGCGGATAATAAAGAGCAGCAGAGCAAACTTACGGGCTGGCTCGGTGAAATGGCGTCCTATTACTCAGCTGCGCCTGTTCGCCTGGGTGGGGCAAGGGTTCCACACCTGTTGCCGGGTGATTCTCTCAACCTTCAGTCGGCGCAGGATACCGATAACGGCTACTCGACTTTTGAACAGTCCCTGCTGCGTTATATTGCCGCTGGGCTTGGTGTGTCGTATGAGCAGCTTTCGCGAAACTATTCGCAGATGAGCTACTCGACCGCACGCGCAAGTGCTAACGAGTCCTGGGCGTACTTTATGGGGCGTCGCAAGTTTGTGGCATCCCGACAGGCCTGTCAGATGTTTCTTTGCTGGCTTGAAGAGGCGATTGTCCGCCGCGTGGTCACGCTTCCTTCGAAAGCCCGGTTCAGTTTCCAGGAGGCGAGAACAGCCTGGGGGAATGCCAACTGGATTGGCTCTGGTCGAATGGCAATTGACGGGCTGAAAGAGGTACAGGAGGCCGTCATGCTCATTGAGGCAGGTCTCAGCACGTATGAAAAAGAGTGCGCCAAACGCGGTGATGATTATCAGGAGATTTTTGCCCAGCAGGTCCGGGAAACCATGGAGCGTCGTGCTGCGGGTCTGAAACCACCGGCATGGGCCGCTGCAGCTTTTGAGGCCGGAGTGAAAAAATCAAACGAGGAGGAGCAAGATGGCGCACGAGCTGCGTAATCTTCCGCATATTGCCAGTATGGCCTTTAATGAGCCGCTGATGCTTGAACCCGCCTATGCGCGGGTTTTCTTTTGCGCGCTGGCTGGCCAGTTGGGCATCACCCGGCTGACAGATACCGTCTCTGGCATCACGCTTGATGCCGGACAAATAGCCGAACCGCTGGCGCTGTTTGGTGAGGATGATGACATGGATCCCCGTCCATCACGCAGCTATCAGGTGGCAAATGGTATCGCGGTCTTGCCGGTTTCCGGCACGCTGGTCAGTAAAACCCGTGCGCTTCAGCCTTATTCCGGGATGACGGGTTACAACGGGATCATTGCTCGCCTGCAGCAGGCAATCAGTGACCCCGGCGTTGACGGCATTCTTCTGGATATGGATACGCCGGGTGGAATGGTGTCCGGGGCGTTTGACTGCGCCGACATTATTGCCCGTATGCGCGATATCAAACCCATCTGGGCGCTGGCCAATGACATGAACTGCAGTGCAGGTCAGCTTATTGCCAGTTCGGCATCGCGACGGCTGGTCACACAAACGGCCAGAACCGGCTCCATTGGGGTCATGATGGCGCACAGTAACTATGGCGCTGCGCTCAAAACTAACGGCGTTGAGGTCACGCTGATTTACAGCGGCGATCGCAAGGTCGACGGCAACCCTTACGAAAAGCTTCCGAAAGATGTGCGTGCTGATTTCCAGACGCGTATCGATGCCACTCGTCAGATGTTTGCCGAAAAGGTTTCCGCTTATACCGGCATGTCTGTTCAGGACGTGCTGGACACCGAAGCGGCAGTATTCTCCGGCCAGGAATCTTTGGATAACGGGCTGGCGGATGAACTTGTTAACAATACCGATGCGCTCGGCGTGATGCGCGAAGCACTCGACAGACGCAAAAAAACAACCCTTGGAGGAACTATGCCATCACCTTCTGCATCAGCTGTGACCACTAAGCCAGTTGACCAGGCAGCAACTCAGACAACTGCATCAGCTGAACAGGCCACTACCGTTGACACGACAATTGCTTCCGTAGCAGCCCCTGTAGATGTCAGTGCGCAGGTTACTGCAGCAGTAGCTGCAGAGAATAGTCGCATCATGGGCATCCTGAACTGCGACGAGGCTAAAGGGCGTGAGTCACAGGCGCGAGCACTGGCCGAAACGCCGGGTATGACGGTAGAGAGCGCACAGCGCATTCTGGCTGCTGCACCGCAAAGTGCCCAGATGCGTACCGATACGGCGCTGGATCGTTTGATGGAAACAGCACCCGGTGCACTCCAAGCAGGTAGCGCATCTTCTGATGCCGCTGACGATTTGTTAAACACCCCCGTTTAAGAGGCTATCATGGCAATTACTGAAGTTTTCACACATAACCAGCCGCTCGGTAACAGCGACCCGGCGCACACTGCGTATGGTCCTGGCGAACTGACGGCTTCCACTCCAGCCATGACGCCGCTCATGCTGGATGCCACTTCTGGCAAGCTGACCGTCTGGGATGGTGCTCATGCTGGCGCGGCAATGGGCATCCTGGCTGTAACCGCAGACCAGAACAGCGCGGAACTGGCATATTACAAATCTGGCTCTTTCCGTATTGAAGATGTCCTCTGGCCATCTGCCGTCACCGACGACAACATTAAACGTAACGCGTTCGCCGGTACTGCAATCAGCATCGTTTAATCCGCATTTCTACAACCATCATCATTCATAAAAGCCGCTTGCGCGGCTTTTTTTACGGGAAAAATCTATGTCCGTTTACACCACTGCCCAACTGCTGGCGGTCAATGAGAAGAAATTCAAATTCGATCCGCTTTTCCTGCGTATCTTTTTCCGCGAAACCTATCCCTTCAGTACAGAGAAGGTTTACCTGTCGCAAATTCCTGGCCTGGTCAATATGGCGCTTTACGTCTCGCCGATTGTCTCCGGCAAAGTGATCCGCTCCCGTGGCGGCAGCACGTCTGAATTCACGCCGGGTTATGTGAAGCCGAAACACGAAGTTAACCCACTGATGACTCTCCGCCGCCTGCCGGATGAGGATCCGCAGAATCTCGCTGACCCGGTCTATCGCCGTCGCCGCATTATCCTTCAGAACATGAAGGATGAAGAGCTGGCGATTGCTCAGGTCGAAGAGAAACAGGCTGTTTCGGCGGTGCTCAGCGGTAAATACACCATGACCGGGGAAGCGTTCGAGCCTGTTGAAGTCGATATGGGCCGCAGCGCTGGTAACAACATTGTCCAGGCCGGTGCGGCTGCATGGTCAACCCGCGACAAAGAAACGTATGACCCGACCGATGACATTGAAGCCTACGCGCTCAACGCCAGCGGTGTGGTCAACATCATTGTGTTCGATCCGAAAGGCTGGGCGCTGTTCCGTTCCTTCAAGGCTGTTGAGAAGAAGCTGGATACGCGTCGTGGTTCTAACTCTGAGCTGGAAACTGCCGTGAAAGACCTGGGTATGGCTGTTTCATACAAGGGGATGTTTGGCGATGTGGCAATCGTGGTGTACTCCGGCCAGTACGTCGAAAACGACGTCAAAAAGAATTATCTGCCGGACCTGACAATGGTGCTGGGGAATACCCAGGCTCGTGGCCTGCGTACCTATGGCTGCATTCTTGATGCTGATGCCCAGCGCGAAGGTATCAATGCCTCGACACGCTACCCGAAAAACTGGGTGCAGTCGGGGGATCCGGCGCGCGAATTCACCATGATTCAGTCAGCTCCGCTGATGCTGCTGCCAGACCCTGACGCATTCGTCTCCGTCAAACTGGCATAACTTCCCCCAGTGGCCCTGTCGGGCCACCTTTCTGGAGTATTTCCCATGACAGAGAAAGAAAAGCTGATCGCTCGCCTGAATGACCTTGGCACTCAGCTTAACCGCGAGGTCAGCACCAGCGGCACGATTCAGGAACTTACGATGCGTATTGCTGAGCTGGAAGAGGAGCTGGATGGTGATGCCAGTTCGATTGACGGTGAAAACGGAGAGAAGAATGCTCCCGACAGCACCGACAGCACCGACAGCGCCGACAGCGATGTAGATGGCACGGAAAAAGTAAAAACCGAAGCGGTCACAACGGATGACCGGGTATCAGTAGAAACGCTGGTGACCTTGCACATAAACGCGCTTCACGCCACGCGTAACGAGTCTGTGTCTATTGTCGAGCCTGGTGTCGTTATCCGCGTGACTGACGTAGAGGCTAACGACCTGATATCTCGGGCGCTGGCCCGGGAAATCTGACAGGGGGCCTAATGGCTGATTTCGACAATCTTTTTGATGAATCGATGGCGCGCGCGGATACCACTATACGTGGATTGATGGGCGCAGAGGCAAGGATAACCTCAGGATCTTTATCCGGCGTCACGCTCCGGGGGGTCTTTGACGATCCAGAGAACATTGGTTACGCCGAAGTGGGGATCCGAATTGATGGAACCAGGCCGACGTTGTTTGTGAACACATCGGATGTTAGCGGGCTGGAAAGGCTGGATACGCTGAAGGTTAACGGGCGTGAATTTTGGGTTGATCGCGTTGGTCCGGATGATTGCGGGTCCTGCCATGTTTGGCTGGGTAGTGGATCACCTCCCGGCGGTTCGCGGCGTCGTTAAGGAGCATTCATGTCGATAAAAGGTCTTGAGCAGGCGATCGCTAACCTGGATAGCCTGGACAGAAATATGGTTCCCAATGCCAGCGCATGGGCTGTGAACCGGGTTGCTGCTAATGGCGTCTCGGTTGCCGTCCGAAGGGTGGCGAAAGAAACGGTAGCCGGTGATAACCGCGTTTCGGGGATACCCGTAAAGCTGGTACGACAAAGGGTGCGAATCAACAAAGCCTCGGCGTCAGGGCACTCAGCGGCCCGAATTAAGGTTAACCGGGGCAATCTTCCCGCCATCAAACTCGGTGCCGCGCAGGTCAGGGCGACGAATCGAAAGGGCCCGCTGGTTCGAAAAAGTAGCGTGTTAAGAATTGGCCGTTATGTTTTTCGCGACGCCTTTATCCAGCGCCTGGCGAACGGCCGCTGGCACGTCATGAAGCGAATTGCAGGAAAAAGTCGTTATCCCATCGACGTGGTCAAAATTCCATTGTCCGCGCCCCTCACAACTGCTTTCGAAGCAGAAAAGAAACGCATGCTTGAAGAGGAAATGCCAAAACAACTTGGCTATGCCCTCAGGCAACAACTGAGGTTGCATCTGACACGATGAAACACACTCTCATTCGCCAGAAAATTATTGATGTGCTTGAAGAGGCCATCGGGAACGACGTCATGTTTTTTGACGGGCGTCCTGCTGTCATTGAGGAGGAGGATTTTCCTGCCGTTGCGGTCTATCTGACCGATGCGGAGTATACCGGCGAAGAACTTGATGCCGATATGTGGGCGGCAACGTTACATATTGAGGTCTTCCTGTCCTCGCAGGTACCAGATTCCGAACTGGATGAATGGATGGAAAGCCATATTTATCCTGCCCTCGCTGACGTACCCGGTCTCGATTCACTGTTAACGCTCATGGTTCCACAAGGCTTCGATTATCAGCGCGATGATGCGATGGGGTTGTGGACTTCCGCCGATATGAAATATTCAATCACTTACGAAATGTGAGGAAAACATGCCAACACCTAATCCACTCGCTCCTGTAAAAGGTGCCGGTACCACGCTCTGGCTGTACACCGGAACGGGTAACGCTTTCGCCAACCCACTCTCTGATATCGACTGGAATCGCCTGCCGAAAATCAAAGAACTCACGCCGGGCGAAATGACCGCAGAATCGTATGACGACACCTACCTCGACGACGAGGACGCCGACTGGAACGCGACCGCTCAGGGGGCAAAATCTGCTGGCGACACCTCTTTCACCCTCGCCTGGAAGCCGGGTGAAGAAGGGCAAAAAGACCTGGTCGCATGGTTTATTGATGGCTCAGTACGCTATTACAAAATCAAATATCCGAATGGTACCGTCGACGTTTTCCGCGGTTGGTGCAGCAGCCTGGGTAAAGCCATCCCGGCAAAAGAGGTTATTACCCGCACAGCGAAAATCACCAACACCGGCAAGCCGGAGCTGGCTGAAGAAAGCGGGAGCCCGAATATCCCCGTCACCGGCGTCACGCTCGATAAAGCCACGGCAAGCGTGGCCGTCGGTGCAACCACAACGCTCAATGTGACGGTTAACCCTGCCAGTGCCTCAGATAAATCCTTCCGCGTATCGTCAGCTGACCGGGCCAAAGCCACAGTTACGGCTAACGGTAACACACTGACGGTCACCGGCGTGGCGGCAGGCACCGCTGACATTATTGTAATGACCAGCGACGGTAATTTCGTTGCGGTCTGCAAAGTCACCGTAACTGCAGCGTAAGGAAGGACGCATGTTTCTGAAAAAAGAGAAGTTCACCTGGCAAACAGAATCCCTGACCATCTTCGAACTGTCGGCGCTTCAGCGTATTGAGTTCCTGACGTTTATGGCCGCAGAGGAAAGGGCCGTCAGTGCTGACAGCGAGGGCATCAGCGATCAGGAAATGACGGCCAGGCTGATTGGCTCAAATATTCGCTGCGGTGCGCGTTTGATCGCGATGTCTTTGTGGCATAACGATCCGGCCGGCACGGATGTGGAAACGTTATATCAGCAGGTGCTGAGCGGCTGGCCGCCGGAGGCGATCGGTAAAGCAGAAATGGAAATAAAGCTGCTCTCCGGCATGCTCGTTCCGGTTGATGAAGACAACGCTGCCGATCCAGATGGCTCAACGGAGGCCGAAAGCGCAGAAACCGTTACGGCGGAAAAGCCCTTGCCAGCGAGCTGAAGTTTGTCCTGAATCTGGCGCGCGAGTTCGGGCGACCCGACTGGCGCGCCATGCTGGCTGGAATGACCTCCAGTGAGCTGGGCGACTGGCACCAGTTCTACCGGGATCATTATTTTCAGGACGCGCAGCTCGATGCGCATTTCTCAGAGCTGCTTTATTCCATCTCCACTCTTTTCTTCCGCGATCCGGAACTTACCCCCGCACATTTCAGCCTGCTTTCTCCTTCGGATAGCGTCATCAGCGATGATGAGCCGGATGATGACACGCTGATGACCGCCGCCGAGGGGATCACAGGAGGTATCCGATATGGCCCAGCAGATTAGCGATCTGGTTATTAAGCTGGATGTTGACCGCGCCACCTTCAGCGAGCAGGTCGCCCGAATCAAAGGGCAACTGACAGGAATGGCGGATGAGTCTGATAAAGTTCAGGCGCGAATGCAGCGTGCAGCGGACCGTCAGAGCGCGGCATTAAAGAGCGTGGGCGACGCTGGCGCGGCGGCTGCCGCAGATATGAAAGCCCGACAGTCTGCTGCAACGGAAGGGCTGGCCAAAGACTGGCAGAACGTTTCTAAGTCCGTTGATGAAACTCACCGCCGCGTGACCGAGCTTAATCAGCGTATGCGGGAAAATGACGGACAGGCCGCAGCGCTTGCCCGCCGTCAGGATGAACTGGCGGCATCCTTTTTCCGCCAGATTGACGGCGTTCGCCAGCTCAATGGTGAAACGCAGTCGCTTGCGAACGTGCAGGCGCGCTTTCGTGCGGCAAGGGCACAGGGCAATATCACCCAGCAGGATTATCTCGCCCTGATTTCCCGCACCACGGCCAGGCAAAAAGAGCTGCAGATCATAGAGGAAAAATCGGCCGCCGCGCGTACCCGATTCCTCAGTCAGCTGAAGCAACAGGTCGCAGAGCAAAAACTCTCCGGTACCGAGTTGCTGCGCATGAAGGCGGCGCAGGTTGGTGCAAGCGATGCGGCTGAGGTCTATATCCGCAAGCTCGAGGCTGCCAAAGTGGCCACGCACGGTCTGGGCCTGAAAAGTGCCGCAGCGCGGCAGGAACTGGGGATACTGATCGGCGAGGTCATGCGCGGTAACTTCGGTGCACTGCGCGGCTCCGGGATCACGCTGGCGAACCGGGCAGGATGGATAGACCAGCTGCTGTCGCTGCGCGGGCTTGGGATCGCCGGCATGGTTGGTGGTATTGCCGCGGCGGTTTACGGGCTGGGTAAAGCCTGGTATGACGGCAGCAAAGAGTCCGAGGAATTTAACAGGCAGCTGATCCTGACCGGGAATTACGCCGGGAAAACGTCCGGACAGCTACAGGCACTGGCGCGCTCACTGGCAGGTAATGGCATCACACAGCATGCTGCTGCAGGTGTGCTGGCGCAGGTTGTCGGAAGTGGTGCGTTTAGCGGTAATGATGTCAGCATGGTGAGCAATGTTGCTGCCAGGCTGCAGCAGGCAACCGGGCAGGCCGTCGACGAAACCATCAACCAGTTTAAACGCCTGAAGGATGATCCGGTTAATGCAGTCACAACGCTCAACGATTCGCTGCATTTTCTGACGGCCACGCAGTATGAACAGATTGCCTCTGCTCAGGCGATGGGAGATACGCAGAAAGCATCAGAGCTTGCCATGCGCGCATATTCTGATGCGGTCATTCAGCGGGCCGGGGCGGTTGAGGAAAATCTTGGCTCCCTCGAAAAAGCCTGGAACTGGGTGAAGAATGCGGCCTCAGGCGCGTGGGATGCGATGCTGGGCATAGGGCGTAATCCTGACACCGCGATGAAGCGCCAGGACTCTTTTGCTGAATGGCAGGCAGCAGAGAAAGAGTACCGTGCTCTGTCCGGCAATCTCAAGGTTGATCCGGACTATGCCGGTAACAACGTTCTGCAAAAGGCAGATGCGGAAAGGCTGAGAAACGCGCGCCAGCAGGTAGAGCTTAAGAAGCAGGCTTTACGATCTTGCCGATAAGCAATATGCCCAGGAAGGGCTGGCAGCTGCCAGGGAAAAAATGCGGACGGAACAGCAGACACAGGCAGTCCGGACCCAGCAGCAATTTAATCAGATGGTTGAATCCGGGGCGACGGCGGCAGAAAAACGTGCCCTTGCGGAGAAAAAACTCAATCAGCTTATCGCTAAAAACCGCCAGGATGCGAAAGACGGCATCGCCACGTTGTGGACTGAAAAGGACATAGCGGCAGCACGCGCCGGTATTAAAAAGAAGTGGAAGGATCCCAAAACGCCGAAAGGCAAAAGCTATTCAACGCCAGCCGGGGATAAAGCTGAAGAAAAAGCGCAGGCTGAACTTCTCACCCTTCAGGCCCAGCTTAAAACGCTCGAGCAGCATACCAGCGTAAACGACGTCATAAGCAAACAGCGTCAGGATCTCTGGCAGACTGAAAATCAGTTCACCGTTCTGCAGGAGGCCGCTGGGCGTCGTCAGCTTACGGCGCAGGAAAAATCCCTGCTGGCGCACAAGGAAGAAACGCTCGAGTACAAGCGGCAGCTGGCCGACCTGGGCGATAAGGTTGCCAGGCAGCAAAAGCTCAACCAGCTGACCGACCAGGCCGTGAAGTTTGAGCAGCAGCAAAAAGCCGCCAGGGCGGGCCTGCAGGCTCAGTCTGAGGGGCTATCCACCCGCGAGGCCGGGCGACAAACCACCCTGCAACGTCTCAGCGAGAGCTATTCATATAATCCTCAGGCGCAGCAAAAGGTTCTGGAAGAGCAAAAGGGCGACGTTCGAGGCTGAAGATGCCCTGCGCGCAAACTGGCTGGCCGGTGCGAAACAGGGCTGGGCCGAATATCAGGATTCAGCGACAAACGTTTTCAGCTCCGTTCAGCAGATTTCGCAGGCAACGTTCAGCGGGCTGGCTGGCCAGCTTACCAGCCTGACGACAACCGGGAAGGCGAGCTTCCGGGACTTCACCAGCTCAATCCTCAAAATGATTGTGTCCGTTATCAACCAGCTGCTGGTGGCTTACACCATCCAGAGCGCAATGGGCTGGGTGAGCGGCGGGGCGAAAGCCTCCTCTGCAGGTCAGTCATTCGCGGTCCAGTCATACCGGCCACAGGGTTTTGACGTGGGCGGTTTTACCGGGCACGGCGGCAAGTACGAGCCAGCCGGTATCGTTCACCGCGGGGAATTCGTCTTCACCAAAGAATCAACCAGCCGCATCGGCGTGGCTAATCTCTATCGCCTGATGCGCGGGTATGCCTCGGGTGGTCTGGTCGGCGGCGGGAACGCAGCCGGTGCTGGCATGGGCGGGATTAGTGTTTATGCCCCAGTCAGCATCAGCCAGCAGGGGAGTGACGGAAGCATAAATCAGGCGAACGCCACGGGGACGGCGAAACAGCTGCAGGCGATTGTTCAGCAGACAATCACCGAGCGACTGAAAAAAGAAATGTCCGCGGGCGGCGTGCTTTATTCGAGGAGGACACAGTGACGGACACGTTTACCTGGCGCACGCGAAAAACAGCGCAGGGCACTGAAACAGCCCGAACGCTGCAGGCCCAGTTCGGGGATGGCTACAAACAGATAGCGGGGATGGGGATCAACGACAAACAGGAAACGTGGAACCTGGACTGGACGGGCACCAGACAGGAGGCGGCTGCGCTGCGCGCTTTCCTGATGTCTCACGTTACTAAATCGTTCTGGTGGACCACTCCATGGGGTGGAAAAAAAGCTGTTCAGAATGAAGGCCGATTCGTTCAGCGTTTCTTTCCCTACCGGGAAAAAAGCCACTGTGGCCTTCACTTTTGAACAGGCGTTCGCGCCCTGATTTTCTCGAAAAACACTGAAAGCTGCCTCCGGGCGGCTTTTTTTTATGGGGGGAGTATGAGTTTTACGGCAGACATACAACAGCTTGAGCCCGGCAGCGTTATTCAGCTGATTGAGATCGACGGCACTGAATTCGGTATGGATCAGGTGCTGCGTTTTTCATGCGCACAATATTCAGGAAGAGGGGTGGGCAGCCTTCGCCGCAGAAAATCTGCCCGCCATTATCTGGCAGGGAAACCAGTACGATCCCCATCCCTACGAACTTAAGGGGATGGAGTTATCGAGTACAGGTTCCCAGCCAACGCCCACGCTGTCCGTCGGGAACGTCGGAAACTATGTCACCGCGCTGTGTCTTGAATATGACGATATGGTCAGGGCTAAGGTCAAAATCCATACCACGCTTTCGAAGTATCTCGATGCCGCCAACTGGAAAAACGGTAATCCGGGTGCCAGCCCGGCCGATGAGCGCGTACAGCTCTTTTACGTCAATGCCAAAACCGCAGAGACGCGTGTACAGGTTGATTTCGAGCTGTGCTCTCCTTTCGATATTCAGAGCCTGCAGCTGCCGACACGGCAGATTACGCCTGTCTGCACCTGGTGTATGCGGGGCTGGTACCGAAGCGGGACTGGATGCGATTACAACGGCACGAAATACTTTACCAAAGACGGTACACCGACCGATGACCCGTCGAAAGATGTATGTGGCGGCCGCCGGCAGGATTGTCAGGATCGTCACGGCCCGGACGCGCCGCTGCCGTTCGGCGGTTTTCCGGCTGCAAACCTGCAGGGGAAATAAAATGCGTGAAAAATTGCTGGATGCTATCCGTCAGCACGTCGCTGCTGAATACCCCAAAGAAGCCTGCGGCCTGATTGTTCAGTCAGGCCAGCAACAAATCTTTATTCCCTGCCGCAACATTGCCGATAAGCCCGAGGAGACATTCACGCTCTCCCCGGAAGACCAGCTCGCTGCCCGCGCGCGCGGTGAGATCATCATGCTCATTCATTCCCATCCGGATGTGGTTCGGCTGGTGCCCTCGGAGCTGGACCGGATCCAGTGCGACTGGTCGGGGATTGAGTGGGGGATCATGTCCTGGCCGGACGGGGATTTTTGTACGATTTCCCCGCGTGAAGACCGGGATTATGCCGGGCGGCAGTGGGTGCTGGGTTACGCCGACTGCTGGTCGCTTATCCGTGAATTTTATCTGCGCGAATACGGCATTGTTCTCGGCAATTATTCAGTACCTTACGAATGGTGGGAGAGCGGCAAAGAGCGGCTCTACGATGACAACTGGGAGCGTGAGGGGTTCGTTGAGATTGACGCCGGTGCTATGCAGCCCGGGGACATCATCATGATGAGTGTGCAGGCATCGGTGACCAATCACGCCGCTGTATATCTGGGTGATAACATCATTCTCCATCATCTTTTCGGGCACCTTTCTTCGCGAACGCCTTATGGAAAATATTATCGCGACAGAACGGTCCGGGTGGTCAGGCATAAGGACAGAATGCATGGTTAAGACGCTTATTCTCGAAGGTAAAATGGCAAAAAAATTCGGTAAACGCGTTCAGTTTGATGTTGCCGACCTGCGCGAGATGCTCAGGGCCATGTGTTCACAGGTTCCCGGATTCAAAAAATATATGTCTGAAGCTCATATGAAGGGGATCCGTTTCGCCTTTTTTAACGGTGGCAACAATATCGGGCTGGAAGAGTTTGATATGACCCGCGGTGGAAGCGTGTACCGGATCGTGCCCGTTTATGAGGGGGCCAAAAGTTCGGGCGTCCTGCAGATAGTTGTCGGGGCTGTTGCGCTGGTCGCTGCATTCTTTACCGCTGGTGCGAGCATGGCAGCCTGGGGCGCGGCGATGAGTGCAACAGCTATCAGCGCCACGTCAATTCTGACAGGGGTCGGAGTGTCGATGATGCTGGGGGGCGTTGTCCAGATGCTCACGCCCCAGCCATCCTTCGGCGCGGGTAAATCTTCCAGCACGGACAACACGCCTAACTATGCCTTCGGGGCGCCGGTCAATACCGTCGCTATGGGGCATCCTGTCCCCCTGGCCTACGGTCTGATCGAGGCTGGGGGAGCGATAGTCAGCGCCGGTATGTACTCGAGCGATCAGCAATAGTGAAATGCAACATAATAAGATGAACGTTACATTGCAATCACCCTTGGTTATCATGTCCAAAACGATGCCGATCAAGGAGATGAAAGTGAAAAAATACGGTTTGGTCTTATTAGGTGTGCTCTTTATTTCAGGTTGTGCCCCACAAAATCAGAATAACAATTTACAAAAGCAATACGCTGATTTGGCAAATTGTCAAGAGGATAACATTACTATGCCAAAACAAATGCCGCATAGTAAAAAAGAGTTTGCTGAATTTTTATCTAAGGAAGCTCTTAATGCCTCAGCAGATCAGTTCGTTACCCAGAAGCGTATAGAGATTCTGCAATTAGTTGGGTGGGATAATTCGGTTGCTGATGCAATAACGACATGTGGCGCTACCAGAAAGAGCAAGCTGAAAGAAATTGGGTCTAATGTGTTTGAAACCATGAAAGCCAATACTAAAGACACAGAGGAACGTCGTGCTCTTGTTGAGGCTTATAGTTCGTGGGAAGCTTATGTAACCAGTCAAACGCCACTCGCAAAACAGGACTTTGACTAAAAAGTTAGTTATTACAAAAACATGTAATAAGACGCCATCATTAATATTAACTAATAACCCAGCTCAGGCTGGGTTTTTTAATGGGGTAAAAATGCAACTTCTCCATGGTGAAACCATCATACAGGGTGCAAAAGGGGGCGGTGGAAGCGCGCATACTCCGGTTGAGCAACCTGACGATCTGCTGTCGGTCGCAAAATTAAAAATGCTCATTGCCGTTTCTGAGGGAGAAATACAGGGCGACCTGACCGCTCAGAATATTTTCCTCAACGATACGCCGCTGGCAAACGACAGCGGGGAATACAACTTCAGCGGCGTGAAATGGGAGTTCCGTAAGGGCACACAGGACCAGACCTATATTGCCGGGATGCCCCAGGTCGATAACGAACTGGCGGTTGGCACAACTGTCACCACCACCGCGCCCTGGACACGCCAGTTTACCAATCTTTCCCTGGATGCTATCCGCATCAAGCTCAGCCTTCCGGTCCAGTATCTCTATAAAGATAACGGCGATATGGTGGGCACGGTCACCGAGTATGCGATCGATTTATCAACGGACGGCGGCGCCTGGAAAACGGTTGTAAACGGCAAATTTGACGGAAAGACCACGACGGAATATCAGCGTGACCACCGTATCGATCTGCCAAAATCCACGTCCGGCTGGTCTGTCAGGGTCAGGCGTATTACGGCTGATGCCAGCGGATCAAATTCGAAACTGGTTAACGCCTTCAAGGTGTTTTCCTATGCGGAAGTCATCGACAGCAAGCTTCGTTATCCTTTAACCGCGCTCCTGTATGTCGAAGTGGACAGCAGCCAGTTCAACGGCAGCGCGCCGAAAGTGACCTGTAAGATAAAAGGCAAGCTGATTAAGGTTCCGGATAATTACGATCCGATAACCCGAACCTATTCTGGCTCATGGTCCGGCGGGTTCAAAATGGCCTGGTCCAATAACCCCGCCTGGATATTTTACGATCTGGTTCTGGATGAAATTTACGGCATGGGCACGCGCGTGGATGCGTCCATGGTGGATAAGTGGGCTCTGTATTCAATCGCCCAGTACTGTGACGAAATGGTTTCCGACGGGGCCGGTGGCACCGAACCGCGTTTCACCTGCAACGTTTTCATTCAGAGCCAGGAGGACGCCTGGCAGGTACTTAACGATCTCGCCGCGGTATTTCGTGGAATAACGTTCTGGGGCAACGATCAGATTTATGTCCAGGCAGACGTCCCGCAGGACGATGTTGACTGGGTTTATAACGCCTCAAATGTGATCGATGGGCTGTTTACTTATGCGGGCGGCTCATACAAGAATCGCTACAGCTCCTGCCTGGTGTCCTGGTCCGATCCGCAGAACCATTACAGCGATACCGTTGAGGGGGTTTACGATTCGGCGCTTGTAGAACGTTACGACGTCCGGCAGACGTCCCTGACCGCAATCGGCTGCACCTCGCAAAGTGAAGCGCACCGACGCGGTCGATGGGTATTGCTCTCCAATGCCAAAGACGGGACCGTATCGTTTGGCGTGGGGCTGGACGGTTATATCCCTTTGCCCGCTGAAATTATCGGTGTCGCCGATCCTTTCCGTTCCGGCAAGGAGAACGGGGGACGCATCAGGGCGGTCAATGGCCGCCAGATTACGCTGGATCGAGAAATAGACTACGCGGCGAAAGACCGGCTGGTGGTTAACCTGCCTGACGGAAAAGCCCAGACGCGCACAATCAGCGCGGTGAGCGCAGATAAAAAAACGGTGACGGTGGCCACCGCATTTAGTCAGGCACCTGTGGCGGGTGCTGTCTGGGCGATAGACAGTGATAACCTCGCAATACAGTATTTCCGGGTCACTTCAATTGCAGCTAACGACGACAGCACAGGCGGTTTCACTATTACGGCCGTTCAGCACGATCCAAACAAATACCGTTACATCGATGACGGCGTTCGGGTCGAGTCGCCCCCGATCACCGTCACGCCGATAAGCGTCCTGTCAGCGCCGAAGAATATCGTGGTGACTGAGAGCGATCATGTTTCACAGGGGCTGACGGTAGCAAGCCTGGACGTGTCATGGGATAAGGTAGAGGGCGCAATCCGGTACGTTGCCCAGTGGCGTAAGGACAACGGGGACTGGATAAACGTTCCGGTTACCAGCGCGCAGGGTTTCTCGGTTCAGGGCATTTATTCGGGCAGCTATGACGTGCGCGTCCGGGCGCTGAATGCGCAGGATACGTCGTCACCATGGGGGTACGGTGAAACAACTTATCTCTCCGGTAAAACGGGAAAACCGGGTACTCCGCTCAACTTTCTGGCGACCGAAGATGTGGTCTGGCATATCGACCTGACCTGGAAATTTCCGGATGGCTCTGGCGACACGGCCTATACAGAGATTCAGCGCGCCACAACTGCCGACTACGCCAATCCTGAACTGCTGGTCCTGGTGCCGTACCCGGCTGCAGATTATCAGCATGGCCCCATGCCGGCCGGCGTTCGCCAGTGGTACCGCGCACGCCTGATTGACCGTATCGGTAACGCCGGGGACTGGACCGACTGGATCATGGGCACGTCCTCGATAGATGTCAGCGAAATAACTAATGACATTCTGGAGGATATGAAAGAGTCGGAAACGTTCAAAGACCTGATCGAGAACGCGGTGGACAGCAACGAAAAAATTGCTGGCATGGCTGACGAAATCAAAAACCATGCCGACGAGCTGGAGCAGCAGGCGAAAGATATACAGGAAAACGCTGACGGGCTGGCGCAGGCGGCGGTAAAAATCGATGAGATTTCCGTTTCAATGGACGGTATGACAGGAGGCGTGAAGAATTCGGCAATTGCGATAATCCAGAATGGGCTGGCGCAGGTTGTCAGTCGTCGTTCCCAGACAGCAACAAACGCCGGGAACAGTGCCAGTATAGACAGAGTGGATACTACGATTGCCGATACCAGCCAGGCGGTTGCTCGCGCGCTGGTGACGCTGGATGCTTCAGCTGGTGGGAATATCTCCAACTCTACCGATCTCACTGAAACTCTGGCCGATTTCACGCAGGCATCGGCGACAAAAATTAACACCCTGACTGTTAAATCTGGCGAAAACAGTGCCGCGATAAATGTCAACGCACAGGCTATCGCAGATGTAAACGGTAACCTAAGTGCGATGTACAACATCAAGGTTGGTGTCTCCAGCAATGGACAGTATTACGCCGCGGGGATGGGTATCGGCGTGGAGAATACGCCATCCGGCATGCAGTCGCAGGTTATCTTCCTGGCTGACCGCTTCGCCGTCACCACGGCAGCCGGAAATAGCGTAGCTTTGCCGTTCGTGATCCAGAACGGGCAGACATTCATCCGGGCCAGCTTCATCCAGGACGGCACTATCAGCAACGCAAAGATTGGTAATTTTATCCAGTCGAACAATTATGTTGCTGGTTCTGCTGGCTGGAAGCTTGATAAAGGGGGGACGTTTGAGAACTACGGTTCGACTGCTGGTGAGGGAGCCATGAAACTGACAAATCAGACGATCAGCGTCAAAGATGGCAGTAATGTTCTTAGGGTGCAGGTTGGCCGATTAACGGGAGTATTCTGAAATGGCTTATGGAATACAGACCTGGGATGCTTCAGGAAAACCCAACAACTATGGCATCAAACCCGTTTCCGTCGTTGGGCGAATACAGCTGGCTGCCGGGCAAACCTCCGGCAGCTGGTCTTTTACGGTGCCCTCAGGAATGAAAGTTGGTTTTGTTCTTTCACTTGATGAAGGAGGTAACAGCGTAGGGCGGCGCATTGTCGCGTCAGGGAGCACAATAACCGTAAGCGCTGCATCTTCTGTAGGTCTGGGTAATTATCCGGCCTCAAAGTGTGAAGTGGTCGTTTTCATGGAGAAAGCATAATGGCCGAATTTGGCGCGATGATATTAATGGACAACGGGAACCCATTTGTAACGCCCCAGTCAACGCCTTTTTGTCTTTACGGCAAGTACACTTTCAACTCCTCTGCTAATGGCAGTTCGCAGCAGGTTGCTCAGAATATTGCATTAAATGCTGACTACCCTGTGATGGTATTTATCAGGACCACAAATACCGCCCAGCCCACGCCAGTAATATCTTACCGGAATGGAGGAAATGTATATGTCGCGGGGGTTAATCCCTATAACAAGAGCTTCACGTTAACCGCATATATATTTGCCATATTTCCCCAGACGTTACCGAAATGGGGGATGGCCATCTGGGATGCGGCAGGAAAGCTGGTGCTCACTAATGAGTCCCGGGTGTTGTCCGACCTACAGACAATTGGAACGCCTGGCGCAAACGGAGGGATAAATATCGATCAGACACTTAGCGGGCCATGGGCTGTTGCACCTGCACAGCTTGGCCAAAGCATCGTTGTGAATAACTCAACCCGGCCTCCGACAATCTACACCATTAATGCTTATTCGGCGTGCAGGTTTGACGGGGCCAATACGAGGATAAACGCAGGGGGGACCTCCACTGGCACAGGCTCTCCGGGAGGGGTAACGAATACTGGAATTTCCTTAACCGCGATAAATACAGCGGCCTATGACTGATTGATCGTTTTGGGCGATCAATAACTGATAATTGATCTATCAAACCAATTATACCCACCTCTTTCATGTTGGTATTGTCTAAGTTCATGAATACCTCTGGATACTATCAAAATGAGAAAACTGATTATCTGCATGGCAGGCGCTGTCATGCTTACAGGATGCGCTGGCGTAATTGAGAAACAGGAACCAGTTTGCAGCGGCACTGCAATCGTTGGCGGTCAGGAAACTACGGTTCAGATTTACGGTGTGCGTAAACAAAACAACCAGACGCAGTACCGGGCTGGATATCCTTTCAGCTGGCGCTGGGTAAGTGCGAATACATTTACCGAAACAACCTGCAAATAACCCACTACGCTTAAACATAAACCTCGCTCCGGCGGGGTTTTTTTATTGCCTGGAGAAAATATGCTTTATAACACCGGCACCATCGCCATTAATAGAAATACCGCCACCGGGACGGGTACAAACTGGACGGCACCGGCCAGCCAGGTTCGCGCTGGCCAGACAATTATCGTGATGTCTAACCCGGTGCAACTGTTCCAGATTTCATCCGTGAACAGCGCCACGTCAATGACGGTTACGCCTGCCGCTTCCCCGGCGCTGAGCGGCCAGAAGTACGGCATTCTGGTATCAGATAATATCTCGGTTGATGGGCTGGCGCAGGCCATGTCGCAGCTTATCAAGGAGTATGACGAGAATATTGGTGCGTGGGAGACGTTCGCCACAACCTCAGCCAACCAGAACATTACCGTTACGATCAATGGCACCAGTTTATCAATCCCGGCTCTTGGGAAATTACTGCAGAAGGGGAGCAACGGAGCTTTGCCGGTTAATCAAGGTGGTACTGGCGCACCCTCGGCATGGGAAGCCACAAAAAATCTAAAAACATTAAGGACGATGGAGCGAAGATTTGGACCAGGTGATGAGCCAAGAGATGGCGGCTGGTCCAATACTATTGGTTTTGTGGTGGGGCAAACGTCCACAGGGGCAAATGGAGCGTTTGTTGATTTTACAAGTTTCGATCAGTCGGCCAGGCTACAGATCATTGGTTTTTATTCTGACTCTCAAAACCACAATGGTGTCGGGTATAATCTGTGGCATCCCAACTTACAAACATGGTATCCATTCACAACGCTCAGGGATAACAGAAACACAACCGTAGATTCGAACGGTTTCATAAAGGTTGCATCTCCCATTGTAAAGATATTCAGGGATGGTAGCTATGAAACGAATGAAGAGTCGGAGGGAATTGATGTTACCCACATAAATACAGGTGAGTATTTGATAGCAGGTTGCACCGGCCTTAATGCAGATGCAGCATGGGGAGGGATCGATGGTGGATTTGAAATTCCGGTAGACAGGAACAAGCTCGCGCGCATCTGGCTTGATTATGAAGTGAATGCTGATGGCTCTGTTCTGGTAAAAACATATCACCGTACACACCCGAAAGCGCCTGAGTTTGCAAGAAACGAAATCAACGGGTTAACTAATGGCGAGCCAGTAGACATTCCTGCAGATTCTTTTGTTTCCGTACGTGTTGAAATGCCACCAGATAGTATCTGGAACCAGCGACAGAATGATGCTTTGGAAGCAGACGTGCAGAAACCTACCTCATAAGTAAAACCGCCGCAAGTCGTATGCAAGAACGTGCGGCGGCAGGCTGGCGTTCGTTCGATAGTGCGAGTATTGAATGATTTCCAGCCGCTGCGGATTCTACATATGCAATATGACAAAACAATGCTCTTATTCTGAAACCAACCACATATCGGACTCTTCAAACATTTCCTCCAGCATGCGGTTCAGTTTTTCCCGATCGCTTTTGCTGGCATCGCTGTTTAAGCCGTTCGCCTGCATCGGCTTAACCTTCACTTCTGCATCCGGAAAGATCCGGTGCACTCGCTTTGTTAACTCATTCAGAATTATTTCTCTGGCACCTGTTAATCCTTCAACATTCCGTTTGTCGTACACCAACTCAACGAACATACCGCCTCCAAAGCAACAATGATTTTGCACGCAATTTATACTGTTTATTTATACAGTGTCAACGGTTGGGCACGTAGCTTTTTAAGGAAGGTTTTTGGGGCATGTATGGGGCATAAATGCCAGTTTTGGGGCATGGTTGGGACATTTTAACTCATATGAACTTAACCGAATTTCATATGGAGGCGTCTTATAATGCACTGATTAACCTAAAGAAAACACATGCTCTTGGGCGTTCTTTAGTGATTTTTAAAATGCCCGCGTCACGCAGTTAAAGTGGCGGGCATACTCTTCAAGGCTGGTGATACCCAACCGCACCCATTTAGGATGCGACCATTGCGGCAGACCGATGTAAATCATAACGCGTGAAGGATCTCTTCCACGCTACGCACACGGGCGATGCGCGGGTAGATATGATTAATGCTGTTATTGTGTTGCTCGGCGCTGGCGGCACTACAGGCGTCTTCGGCAATCACCAGATTAAAGCCAAGTTCCCAGGCATTGCGGGCGGTGGATTCAACACCGATATTGGTCGAGATCCCACATAACACAATTGTATCGATACCTCGGCGGCGTAACCGCACCTCGACCATATTGCAGGATTTTACCGTTGGGTAATTTCATCCATCCATCACCACTGGCAAAAAAAGCCATATCCGGTATCTGATTTTCCCCTGTTCCCACATCCCGTTTTGCCGCTTCTCCCAAACCAACCTTTCAAATATTTTTCTGAATCAGGTGATATTTCGCCTCTTCTCCTGTTTTTACAACAGGAGAAGCACTCATGATTTACGGTTATGCCCGAGTATCAACAAACCACCAGGACACTGAATTGCAACTAACGGCGCTCAAGTCAGCGGGTTGTGAGAAAATTTTTGAAGAGCATGCCAGCGGGAGGAAATCGAATCGGCCGGTTCTAAAACGGCTGATCGCCACTATGCAGCCGGGGGATGAACTGGTGGTCTGGAAGCTGGACAGGATAGGCCGCAACGTTCTGCATGCGCTGTTGATGTTCCAGCAGTTACAGGAAAAGGGTATCAACTTCCGCAGTATTACAGATGGTGTAGACCTGAAAACAGCAAGTGGTCGCTATAATTTCCGTAATATTCTTTCTGCTGCGCAGTATGAATCTGATTTGAATAGCGAGCGTACCTTAGCAGGGCTGGCCGTAGCCAGGGCAAAAGGGCGAGTTGGTGGTCGCAGGCCTAAGTTCACGGATGAGCAATGGCGGGAAATGGGGGAGCGGATGGCAACCGGTGAATCACGACAAAGCGTATCAAAAACGTATGGAGTAGGGCTCTAAACTCTGTATAAAAAGTTTCCAGCTAGCTGATAACGGGAAAGAAACAGAGAAGGGCACAAATATTGTGTACTTTAATGTGCCCTTTAATTTATTGATTGGTGGTTGAATTGTCCGTAACTTTTTGATTTAAGTGCAAATTTCTAATAAATTAGAACACTTTCTTAAATGGTTTCACTGAAACGTGTTCATAGACTCCTGCCGCTACGTACGGGTCAGCATCGGCCCAGGCCTGAGCTGCTTCCAGCGATTCAAATTCAGCAATAACGGTTGAGCCAGTAACTGTCTCTTATACACATCTGACGCTGC